AAAAAAAAAATCCAAATACTCACCAACAGACACATGGGTAAGCAAAATGTGATATACCCATATAATAGAATATTATTTGGCCATAAGAAGAAACGAAGTTCTAATACACACTACAACTTAGATGAAGCTCAGAACATTATGCTAAGTGAAAGAAGCGGTATGCAAATATAACACCTGTTGTATGACTCCACTGATATGAAATGTCCAGAAAAAGGAAAATCCATGGAGACAGAAAGTAGATTAGTGGTTTCCAGGGGCTGCAGGGAAGGAGAATCAGAGAATGACTGCTAATGGGTATGGGGCTTCTCTTTGGGGTGATGAAAATGTTCTGGAACTAGATAGAGGTGATGGTAGCACAACTCTGTGAGTACATTAAAATCACTGAAATGCATACTTTAAAGGGGTGAATCTTATGGTCTGGTCAGCAGAGAGTTTGTTTAAGATTTTTCTCCCATTTCCTCACCTTCTGCCCTTCCCCCTGCACTCTCCTTCTCTCTCTCAAATAAGTAAATCTTTAAAAAAAAGTTTATTTATTTAAGTAATCTCTACACCCCACATGAGGCTTGAACTCATGACCCCGAGATCAAGAGTCATGTGCTCGGGGCACCTGGGTGGCTCAGTGGGTTAAAGCCTCTGCCTTTGGCTCAGGTCATGATCCCAGGGTCCTAGGGTCGAACCCCGCTTCAGGCTCTCTAGTTGGTGGGGAGCCTGCTTCCTCCTCTCTCTCTCTCTCTCTCTCTCTCTCTCTGCCTGCCTCTCTGCCTACTTGTAATCTCTGTCTTGTCAAATAAATAAATAAATAAATAAATATTTTTTAAAAAAGAGTCAAGTGCTCTACTAACTGAGCCAGCAAGGAGCCCCCCCTTTTTTAGGTTTTGACAATATTAATCAGAGCCATTTTCCCATAAAGAGAATCAGATGGCCAAAGCAGAATATACGGAAAGTGATGCCACAAGAATGAACTTACTTGAACAAGCTAACAAGAAAGGAAGGGAAAGTCTTTAAAATGTCCTCCCCAAAAGACCAGCTGGCCCTGATAGATTCTCTGACAAGTTTTTTTAAACTTACAAATCAAAAGTAATCTACATACACGGTCATGAAAATAAGAAACTCCTCCCAATGACCTAGCAGGATTCTTCTTAACTACACAAGATAATACTGAGTTATCTCAACATACACCCATAAGGCACATATAAATATAACTGTCCACTTATGATGAAATGCTTCCAGTTAAGTATTTCAGAATAAGGAAAGGAGTCCTTTTTTTAACCAAAACCTACCACCTTCTGAAGTTCCATCACACGCCTAAGCTCTTGTGATTCTTACTGCCCAGGCTGCCCAGCTTAGCCTCCACCCCCTCTGGAAGGTCTCTTCTACAACAGTTCACTCTTGAACTAGTTACTTATTAGCAAATCTAATCACATTTTGCCTATGTTCAGAATACTCCTGCAATCCCCACTGCTTAAATAAAGAAGTCCATGCCCCTCGGAATGGAACATAAGACTCTTCCTTCAACTGGGTTATTCTGACTGTCCCCAGGAAGGCATCCCATCACACAAGACAACTTACAGATCTACTCACAGGCCTTACTGTACCACCACACAGACCCACCTGACAAACTCCTGTATGTCTCTCAACACCAGGCCAAAACACCCCTGTAAACCCACAGTAACCACCGCTCTCCCTCAGACACAACAGTATCTATCAAGAAGATACATCAACACTCAAATATCTCACCTGAAGTTAACACCAAAGTCTCAAATTCTAGACCCAGCCTAGGCCACCATCGTCACTCACCTCCCACCAACCATATATCCTAAAAGTCCCAATAGCCTTCATCACAACCAAGGGTCTCTTGGAAATCAGAAGCAACAGCCAGAAAGGCTTTAGCTGCTGTCATCCTCCATCCCATGTCCCCAGTGGAATACATGCTAGTAGCTTCAGGTCCAATTGTTATGAACGATGATCCTTTCAGTTTTGGATAATGCATGCTCATTAACTACCCCCACCCCCTGCATATGTGTGTACACGTACCAAAGAAAGCAATCCCAGAAAATGAAAAGTGCCAAAGGGGATTCTGATCTTCCAAATCCAGCATTGGGATAAACAAGCCCACCATCATTCCTAAGAGGAACGTCTTCCCTCTACCCCTACATCTGTCTTGTGCTAGGTCTTTTCAGCCGTTCAGCCAGTCCTGTCTCCTGGGAAAGCCAGAGGCACCCATCCTTCCTAGGGAGAATCCCTATCTAGCTGCAAACTGATTCCTACTTTTTTTTTTTTTTTTAAGATTTTACTTATTTATTTGACAGAGAGACACAGTAAGAGAGGGACCACAAGTGGGGAGCGGAGCGGGGGCAGAAGCAGGCTTCCCATCAAGCAAGGAGCCCGATGTGGGGCTCAATTCCAGGACCCCGGGACCACGACCCTAGCCGAAAGCAGATACTTAACAACTGAGCCACCTAGACGCCCCTGATTCCTACTTTCTACCTTAAGGAATAATCAGGGAGATTTTCAAAAATGACAGGAAGGGGGGGGGCGCCTGGGTGGCTCAGTGGGTTAAAGCCTCTGCCTTCAGCTCAGGTCATAGTCCCAGGGTCCTGGGATCGAGCCCCGCATTGGGCTCTCTGCTCAGCAGGGAGCCTGCTTCCCCTCTCTCTGTGCCTGCCTCTCTGCCTACTTGTGATTTCTGTCAAATAAATAAATAAATAAATAAAATCTTTATTTAAAAAAAAAAAAGAAAGAAATGACAGGAAGAAAAGCCCTCAGAGCCGGTAGCCAGAGTGAAATGAAAATAGGTGTAATTCCCAAAGGGGCCCCTTTCTCCTGCCAAACAAGAGACACACCACTCAGGATAAAAAAAGGCGCCAACTCTCCGGATACATTAGTGTGGGGACCAACACCTCATCTACTGTCTCCAAGCCCCTTCTCCTATAGGCCCACATCCTGGGCCTAGACAGGGTCTGACTGCATAAGGGCCCCAAATGCATTTCCACACAATATTATATTCTCAACATCAAGGCACATGACCAGCAGCTAGCCTCCAACTGGTGCAGAGGGGGTCAAAAACTCCATCTTATGAGTGAGGCAAACAGATGTGGCCAGCTCCGCATGGCTCCATCTCAAAGAGACTCAGGTCAGCCCAGGTAGACCGTGAACCTCCCCCTCCCACCTCATCTGCTCCACTCCATGGATCTCAAACCAAATGAGCAATGCAAAAAACAGATCTTACTAAAGAAGGATGAGCATGTGAAACTTGGAATACCAAGCCTAGTGCATGGTTAAAGGCTGTATTCCAAATCCACCTGATAGATGTGAGGACTCCTTGATACAAGGGCATCTGCGTTTGCTTCTTTTAATTCTATCTACACTTTTTAAACAAATAATATATTCACAAGAAAGAAAATGTGAAGATTTTGAAAATAAAAAATTTCTTTCCCAGTCCTATCCCTAGTCACGCTGTCACTTCCCAAGGGATAGCTGATATTACAAGTTTTTCTATAGATTTCCAAAGATATTCAATGCATGTATAAGCAGGTACAGATATGCTCAATTTGCCTTTTTAATTTTTATATACTTCATAGCACATCATACACTGTTCTATGCCTTATATTTTCCACTTAACAATACACTCTAGAGATTACTCTAAATCAGTACCTAAAGAACCTCCTCATTCTTTTCATGGCTGCATAGTATTCTTTTCTGGATTAACAAAATCTGAATTAACAAAAATTCATTTAACCAATGTTCAAGGTTGCTTAAAGTGATAGTTAATAACAGATTATAACAGTTACTTCTACATAATAAGCCTCTTCTTCACTGCCACCAAAGCAGTGCAAAAGTTCAAAGAGCACACTTGGTATAAGAAAAAGATTAAGGGGCATCCGGGTGGTTCAGTTGGGTAAGCCACTGACTCTTGAGTTTGGCTCCATGATCTCAGGGTTTTGAGATCAAGCCCCTTGTCCCTCTTCTTCCCCCTCTGTCCCTTCTCCCTGCTTGCAGGCATTCTCTCTCTCTCTCTCAAATAAATAAATAAAATCTTGGGCGTGGGGGGGGAGATTACAGCCACATGCTACACAAAGAAGTCAAATATGCCACACACATCCTGATTAATAACTAAAGGTCAGTTTTCCCTGAGATCAAAGCCAAAACATTTCAGACTCCTGACAAGTAGTTGAATCCTGAGCAAGTCTAGATTTCAAGTTCTTGAAATTGGTCAATTAGAAAAAGATATCTGTGTCTTACATTAAGCATAGATGGGAAAAGATGTAACATTTAAGTGCTGCTCTCTCTTTGGAAAAAGCCAGCTGCCTTCTCTCGGTGTCTGGGGCACAAAAAGTAGAGAGAGCCAGGGCAGAGACACAAGAGACTTTGCCTGCCTTCATGACAATGCCAGGGTAGCTTGCACCATGTCACTTAGGCCACTGAAGGAACAGATGGACTTCGGACCATCTTCTGGTGGAGGTTTCTATACCTTCAACTGTACATAGCCCAAGTGGTTGAAAGGGTGCCTGGGTAGTATCGGAGGACCATCTGCAGGGCCCAGAGCATTCCACAAATCTGAGGTTACTGACTGCAAACCCAAGTCTCACACACTTCATATTTATTAAAAAATTGCTTCGACCACGTTCTAAATGGGAGGCCACTTAAAGACCGATTCTTAACAATGATGAAGTAACAAAGAAGCCAGAGTTGGCAGCAGCCTTCTTCTCCATATATGCCAGAGTCCCAGGATGGTCAAATGCCAATGGGAGTGAGGGCTACTAAGGCGTATTTCCACTAGGAGTAAACTCAGGTTGGTTTTTGACCGCAAACAGTTCAAATTCCAATTAATTTTTGGAATGGAAGCCCATACCATCCCAGCCATGGCCATGTTTTAGGATTTTCCACCCAGTGACTTGGCTTTAGGTAAGATAGTCTCCAACCTCTTGGCTGCCACCATGATTCTCACCACAGAATGGATCAAAATTGCAGAACAAATATTCTCTTAACCAGTGACTCACCAGGAAGTCTGTTCATGTTGACGCCTTGAGCTGAGAGTCCTATTCCCATGTACCTTCAAAAAATCACACACAAAAAAATTTGGTTAGCAAATGATTACGCATCTCCCTTCTAAAACATTTCTTGGTAAAAGAAAAACAAGAAAAGCAATGAATATAACACTCTTAACACAGTTCTTGGAGACCCTTCATATTTTGATTTTCTAATGAAAATCTAAAATATCATCTAAATGTCTTAAGTAGCTGGAGAAACAAGAGGTAGTGTCTGTAACCAGGAACTTCAGTTTCAGATGAAAGTTTCCTGAAATCACTGTTTCCAGTCCCTTGGTTTCTGGCTCCAGCTAACACAGTGGAATCTATCCTCGAGAAGTACCTAAGTAAGTATTTGAATCCTAGGTAGTGCTTGGCAGAACGATGCAAGATCAAGCCCACAGGGATAAGCCACTATTCAGCAAGGACCAAGACATGGAAAAAATATAGCCAGGTTGGGTCTGTATAGAATTATCAAGACCCCAGGGTTCTTCTCTGGGTATCTCCAAACTCACTAACGTAACCTAATACATGCACTCACCACTGGCCTCCCTGATCATCCAATGTTGAGGCAGGGTGTCCTTAAGCCCTAAGGATCCCCCTACCCCCACTCCTCCCACCCAGGTACCTAAACACCTAAGTTATCCACAGCAAAGCAGGGCCCATGCTGTGCACCTCGGTCAAAGATGTCTCAGTGGCATTCATGAGTAGGCAGGCCAGAAAAGGAAATGAACAGAGTTTTTTAGTCTGTTTGTACTGTGCAAGGAAATAGTGAGGTATTTCCCCAAGAACTAAGAGAAATAGTTCATTACCTTCTAACAGTACAACAGGAGAAACCCACACATGATGCCTGATATTATCCATCTGTGAGTGCCAACAGTAGTTGAGAAGCTCAGAATACTAAAAACACCAACCAAGAGGGCTGAGATATAACTTTATGGTTGCATAAAAACCGAATGTACTTAAGGCCACTGAACTTATACTTTAAGATAGTGAAAATGGTCAACTTTATGTGATGTATATTTTACCATACACATAAAAAAAAGTTTTTAAGATTTTATTTATTTATTTGAACAGAGAAAGAGCATGAGAGAGAGCGCAACCAGGGGAAGAGGTAGAGGGAGAGAGAGAAGCCAACCCCCTGACATAGGACTTGACTCCAGGACCCTGGAATCATGACCTGAGCCAAAGGCAGACATTTAACCAACTGAGCCACCCAGGCGTCCCCACACAAAAATGTTTTTTAACACAGGGTTGCCTTCTTTCGACCATTTCCAAGTGGCTGCACATTTACATCCCAATTGTTGCCTGTTGTAAATGATTCTGCAAGGAACACTTCCACATACATGTCCCCATCTTGGATTATTACTCTTTCCCCGACATGCTCCATGCACCTACGTACCTGTTTCCTAACACTACCTGAGTTCCCACAACATGGCGCTCCTGTCTCTGCAAGTCCTTCATCTACAGCAAACACCCATTTCCCTTCTTTGGCTGGCTGTGCCACTGCGTTTTGGGAGAGCAGCAGCAGGAAGGCTCTGACCCACACATCTTCCTCTGAAACCAGCTACCCCATTATGCTGGCAGGAACCAGGATGACACCAACCAACACATGACCCTGGTAACTTGGACTGCAGGAGTTAGGGGAAAGAGGAGGGAAGGGAAAGGAACAGCACTTCAAAGAGGGGCTTGCAAGGTTCAAAGGACTGAGACTATCAAACTGCCTGACCTCCTGCCAAAAATGGACCTTGAAGAAGCATCAGGGGCAGAATCAGTGTAAGCCTGCTGGCAGGATTCTTATTAGATTAAGACCTGTACTTTTCCCCCAGAAAAACAGCAGCCCAAATAATCAGCTTCCTTACTTCACTTGGTAGAGGCTGCCACAAGCTGGTCTTCATTCTCTCTTTTTTTTTAAAAGATTTTATTTATTTATTTATTTTTAAGATTTTTTAATTTATCTATTCGACAGACAGAGATCACAAGTAGCCAGAGAGGCAGGCAAAGAGTGAGGAGGAAGCAGGCTCCCCGCGGAGCAGAGAGCCCGATGTGGGGTTGGATCCCAGGACCCTGAGATCATGACCTGAGCCGAAGGCAGAGGCTTTAACCAACTGAGCCACCCAGGTGCCCCAAGATTTTATTTATTTATTTATTTGACAGATAGAGATCACAAGCAGGCAGAGAGGCAGGCAGAGAGAGAGGAAGGGAAGCAGGCTCCCTGCTGAGCAGAGAGCCTGATGCGGGGTTCGATCCCAGGACCCTGGGATCATGACCTGAACCGAAGGCAAGAGGCTTTAACCCACTGAGCCACCCAGGCACCCCTGGTCTTCATTCTCTTATGCCTTGACTGACCAAGCAGCAAACAACCTTAACTGCTCTGCAGTCATCAGTCTAAATAATCATGTACAACATAGCCAGGGGTTTCCCTGACTTGGATGTTAGCCCACTCATCCTGCCCTGTTTGGAAGGGCCTGAGTCCCTGCCCAATATCACATGTGATCCCATTCCTGCCATACAGGTTTCCTGACACTAAAATGAGGGTTTGTGTTTAGAGCACATTTTTCCTGGATAACCCTCAGCCACTTAAGGTTAACACAAATAGGGAAGGTCAACCAGCTTGGCCACCAGCAACAAGGGTCTAATTCCATAAATTTCCATGGGAATAAGGAACTACTAAGGCACATGTACTCAAACACAAGTTGCTTAGGTTTCTGCACTGGGGAAGCCATTTCCACATCCAGCAGCCAGCTCTCAACACCTACCTATAAACTCTCTACCCCATAGGTGGGATAGTGTTTACCAGGCCTGCAAGCCTTTACATAAACCCTAGGGTCAACTTGTGAATCCTCTCCCAGAGATCCTATACCCACACTTGGGTGCCATGTCAATGACACAGGGAGCAACTCCACAGGAACCTAAGTTGCATATCATATGATGGTGGAGTTGAGTCACTGTTCAAAAGAAATGAGTCCCAACTCTTCAAACAATGGGTGATATTAAGTCTTTTCTAAAAGTCTGATGTCTAAAATAATAAAAACACACAGCCTTATACCTTCCAGCAAGTCTTCAAGTCTTCAAGCCACTTGAAAACTATTCTCCAATCAGTCTGAGATAAGCAGGGGTAAAAAAGCTGTAAGGACACCGTGAATATACTGAAAAACACTGAACTGAACACTTTAATTGGGGAATTGTATGGTAGGTTAAGTTACATCTCAGTCACACTCAACAAAGTAGGAATAAACAAAAACTATCTCAACATAATAAAAGCCATATATGATAAGCCCATAACTAACATCATACCCAATGGTGAAAGACTGTAAAACTTTTCCTCAGATCAGGAACAAGACAAAGATGCCTGTGTTTGCCACTCTATTCGACAGTGTTAAAAGTTCTAGCCAAAGCAATTAGGCAAGAAAAATAAAAGGCACCCGAATTGGAAAAGAATAGGTAAAACTATCTCTGTCCACAGATGACATGATCCTATATGTAGCAAACCCTAAAGATTCCACAAAAATGCTATCAGAATAATCAAATTCAGCAAAGATGAAGGATACAAAATCAACACCTGAAAAGTAATTGTTTTTCTATACACTAACTATACACTAACAGTGAATGACAAAAAAAGGAAATTAAAATAATTCCATTTATAATAGCATTATAAAGACTAAAGTGCTGGGGGGGGCATACCTGGGTGATTCAGTCAATTAAGCACCCACCTTTGGCTGAGGTCATGATCCTGAGGTCCTGGGATCAGCCCTGTGTTGGACTCCCTACTTGGTGGGGAGTCTGCTTTTCTCTCTCCCTCTGAACCTACCCCTTTCTGGTATGCTAACACACGTTCTCTTTCTCTCAAATAAATAAATAATATCTTAAAGATGAAATAAAATGAAGTAAAATAAAAAATAAAATAAAATAAAATAAAATAAAATAGGGGCACCTGGGTGGCTCAGTGGGTTAAAGCCTCTGCCTTCAGCTCGGGTCATGATACCAGTGTCCTGGGATTGAGCCCCACATCGGGCTCTCTGCTCAGCGGGGGGCCTGCTTCCCCCTCTCTCTCTGTCTGTCTCTCTGCCTGCTTGTGATCTCTGTCAAATAAATAAATAAAATCTTTTAAAATAAATAAATAAATAAAATAAAATACCAGGGTGCTTGGGTGGCACCCCAGGAGTGAGACATCCAACTCTTGGTTTTAGCTCAGGTTGTGATCTTAGGATTATAAGATCTAGTCCTGCATTGGGTTCCGTGATCAGTCTGCTTGAGATTTTCTCTCCTTCTGTCCCCCCTCCCCTCTCTAAAATAAATAAATCTTTAAAAAAAAAAAAAAAAAAAGAATAAAATACTTGAGAATAAACTTGACCAAGGAAACAAGACTTGTATACTAAAAACTGTAAGATGTTGCTGAAAGAAATTAAAGAAGACACAAATAAATGGAAAGACATCTGTGTTCACAACTGGAAAACTTAATATTGTTATGATGCCAATACTACCCTGTGCAATACACAGATTTAATGCTATCCATATGGAATCTCAAGGGACAATGAACAGCCAAAACAATCTTGAAAAAGATGAAAAAAAGTTGGAGGACTCACACTTCCTGACTTCAGAACTTACCACAAAGCTGTGATAATCAAAACAGTATTGGTACTGGCATAGAGACAGACATATAGACCACAGTAACACAATAGAGAGCACAGAAATATACCTTCCCATACGTTGTCAACTGATTTTGACAAAGATGTTAAGACCATTCAAGCAGAAAATAATAACACTTGGTGCTGGGACAACTGGATATCCACATGAATAAGAATGAAGTTGGGCCCTTACCATACACCATACGCAAAATTAACTTAAAACAGATCAAATAAACAAAGATCTAAAACTGTAAAGCTGTTAGAAGAAAACACAGGAGAAAAGGTTTACATTGAAATTGGCAACGATTTCTTGGATATTAAATCCAAAGTACAGGCAACAAAAGAAAAAAGTAGGGATGCCTGGGTGGCTCAGTTGGTTAGGCCGCTGCCTTTGGCTC